GAGGCAATAAAGGTGAAAAATTTTGAAAGGGCCCTCAGACCAGCCATTAGAATCAGATTATCAATCTTAAAATTAAGAACTTACATCGAAATAATGGATCGAGCTCAAATTGTTGAAAAGAAGATTATCAAAAGAGGAAAAATTAGAGTGGTCAATAATTGACAACAATTTGAAAGGGCAAAAAAAAGACCAAGGCCGACACCATTTCAAGTCCCACCAGAGCCTTGTAAGAGATGTGGAAAGAAACTATTACTGGGGAACCAGAGCTTGTTTTCAATGTGGGAAGCTGGGACACAAGATGAAAGATTGTCCACTCTAAAAAATGCAACAACATACGAAGCCTGAAGAAGCAGCCCAGAAACCTCAGACAAAGGGAAGAGTATTCACAATTACCCAGAAAGATGCTCAGGCCTCAAACTCGGTGATCCAAGGTACTCTTACTATCTTCCAAACGTTAGCTCATTTTCTGATTGATCCTGGATCTATTCATTCATTTGTGTCATCACATTTTGCTTGCCACTTAAAGGTAGAACCAGAACAATTGGAATACATTTTAGAGGTAGCCACACCTACGGGGGATTCAATTGATACCAATTTAGTATTCAAATCTTGTGATAGAAGAAAAGGAACTCTTGGGGGATTTAATACTCTTAAAAATTCAAGATTTTGATGAAATCTTAGGCATGGATTGGCTCTCTGCCTACCATGCAAGTGTTAATTGTTACCAGATAAGGGCTGCATTTTGTATACCCAATCAACCAGTATTTTACTTAGAGGGTATCAAAGGAGCCTCCCCACCATAATTAGTCTCCTCCATTCAGGTTAATCGCTGCCTTCAAAAAGGGTGTCAAGGCTTTTTTGCCTATATTAAGGAAGATAAAAAGGAAAAAATAAACTTGAATGCCATTCCGATTGCTCGAGAATTTCTTGACATATTCCTTGAGGAATTGTCAAGATTACCCCCTGACAAGGAAATCGAATTCTCCATTGAGTTACTTCCCGGGACAGCCCCAATTTTCACAGCCCCTTATCGAATGGCACCAACAGAACTTAAGGAACTTAAACAACAACCGGAAGAATTATTAGATAAAGGTTTAATCCGACCCAGTGTGTCACATTGAGGTGCTCCAGTATTGTTTGTTAAAAAGAAGGATGGGTCCATGAGGTTGTGTATCGATTATAGACAGCTAAATCAGGTGACAGTGAAAAATAAGTATCTGCTACCTATAATTGATGATTTATTTGATCAATTACAAGGATCACAAGTATTTTAAAAAATTGATCTCAGATCTGGGTACCATCAGCTTAAGATTAGAAGTGATGATGTTCCCACTATAGCTTTTAAGACAAGATATGGACATTATAAATTCTTAGTTATGCCTTTTGGATTAACCAATACATCGTTTGCATTTATGGATTTGATGAATCGAGTCTTTATACCCTTTCTGGATAAGTTTATTGTGGTATTCATCGATGATATTCTAGTCCATTCCAAGGTTCTGGAGGAACATGAACAACATGTAAGAATAGTATTGTTACTAAGAGAAAAGAAGTTGTATGGCAAACTAATTAAATGTGAATTTTGGCTAGAGCAAGTGACATTTTTAGGACATGTAATATAAAAGGAAGGTTTATCAGTTGATCTTTCAAAGGTTGAAACCGTTGTTAATTGGAAACAACCAAGTAATGTGATTGAAGTACGAATTTTTTTGGGATTGATAGGATATTACAGAAGATTTGTAGAAGGATTCTCTTGAATTGCAACCCCATTAACTCGATTGACACAGAAAAATGTCAAATTTGGATGGACAAAGGAATGTGAGGAGAGTTTTCAAGGACTAAATGCTCGATTGACTTCAGCACCTATCCTAACTAATCTTGAGGGGAGTGGAGGATTTGTGATTTATAGTGACGCTTCACATAAAGGCTTGGGCTGTCTATTAATGCAATATGAGAAAGTAGTGGCATATGCATCCAGACAGTTAATAGAATATGAGAAGAAATATCCAATTCATGACTTAGAGTTGGCTACAATAGTATTTGCCTTGAAAATTTGGAGGCATTATCTGTATGGTGAGAAATTTGAAATATATACAGATCATAAGTGTCAGAAATATCTCTTTTCCTAGAAAGATTTAAATGTGCGACAAGTAAGATGGATGGATTTCCTAAAAGATTATGATTGTACAATCCATTATCATTCAGGAAAGGCCAATGTTGTGGCAGATGCTCTAAGTAGGAAGTCTGTAGGAGTGCTAGCTCATCTAATGATTCGAGAGATGAAATTGTTAAAAGAAATAGTGGTTTGCCATCCGACTCTGCCCCTTAATAGTAGGGTAGGTATTGTTGCCAACATAAGGGCTGAACCCCAACTAGGTCAACGAATTCGGATAGCACAAAAAGGGGACCCTCAACTTATAAAATTATAGAAGAAGTGAAGTTGCGAAAGAGAGATGATTTCCCCATAAGCAGTGAGGTTGGATCTACGTCCCAGATGATTAGAATGTGAAGAAAGCTATATTGGAAGAAGCACATCACTCCCGTTATACCATTCATCCCGGGAGTACCAAGATGTACCAAGGCTTGAAGAAAACCTTCTGGTGGAATAATATGAAAAAGGAAGTAGCACTATTTGTTTTCAAGTGCCTAACATGCCAGCAAGTAAAAGCTGAACATCAGAAGCCCGCTGGATTGTTGCAACCCTTACCAATACCAGAATGGAAATGGGAGCACATTTCTATGGATTTTATCTCAGGTTTACGAAGAACAAATTCAGGGTATGATAACATTTGGGTTATTATGGACCGGCTAACCCAAGCTGCCCACTTTCTACCGATTCATACGACTGACACTTTAGATCGACTAACCCAGTTGTACATCAAGGAAATAGTGCGATTGCACGGAGTTCCGATCAGTATTGTATCGGACAAAGACACTCGGTTTACTTCTAGATTTTGGGCTAAGCTCTAAGCGACTATGGGGACAAGACTCTCCTTTAGTATTGCTTTTCGCCCCCAAACGGATGGGCAATCAGATAGGACTATCTGGACCTTAGAAGATATGCTAATTGGATTGTTTAAGGTTGCAACGTTATAGAAACCACACCTTTTCTAGAAAAACATTTTCATGAGAATCAAATGTGCCAGAGAAAAGCCAAAGCCAGATTAGTCTTAAAATTCTATTTGATGCCTTCTCCGAATCGGCGATCCAGAATCATTGGGTTTGATTCTAGGCAAAACCCCAAATCTTAGAGCATTTGACCTCAAAACTTTGAACCTCCAAGCTTTCAACCTAATTCGCAACTCTCTTCAGTTTTTGTCTGTGCATTGAGCCATCCATATCTCTAACCCTTTCTCACTCAAAACCCTAGCAACTCAACCATGCATTGCCACTCCCCCCAACAAAGCTCAACCCTCCAGCAGCTCATGTCCTCGTCGCCTCATGATTATTCCCCTCATCGCCCCCTATTGCTGCAAGCTAGGAGCTCATAGAAAGCTACAATGAGTCATTTTTTTTTTTTAGAGCTCAAAAAAGATAATCACAGATCTAAATGAGGTTTTATTTTTGATTTTTTTTTTTTTTGATCAAACTCAAACAAGATTAACCCCAAGTCTACAAAGAGGTTTTTTATTTATTTTTTGTTTTGATCAAACCCAAAGAAGATTAACCCCAAATCTACAAAGAGCTTTTTTATTTGATTTTTTGTTTCCTTTTTTATTTTCCTAGTTGCATATTCACAGAGTTTATTTATTTATTATTTATGTTTTAATTTTCTAGTTTGTCACATAAAATTTGATGTGGGCGTTCTCTTTATTGAGAAGTAATATTTGGGGCTCGAGAGTTTGATTATTTTGATTTTGTGTCTATTATGTAAATTCATTTGGGTTTTAGGTGTTTGATTAATTGATCATTGTTGCTATCGTTGGGATTTATATAAAATTTTTGATTTTTTTTTTTTAAATACCGGCCGATCGCTAAAACCCCTTGAAACTGGAACCGGTCAGTGGCCGGTTCTGATCAAACCAGGTAACCACCCGGTAAGATCGCCTGGCTTTTCCAACATGGACTAAGACCAATTGGTATGAAAATATTCTCCAACTTGACCCATGAGAGAATTTTTTTATATGAAAATATTTTTTAGAAAACATTTCATGGGAACCAAACGTGCCTGCCATAAATGACACGTTTTCTATGAGTCCACGTAGAAATGAATCCATTCTTAAATATTTATTTTTGAGATAGATTTTTGTACATTTTTTAAGGGCATGTAATCTCTAACATGGAGATCATAAATATGAAAAAATAAATAAATTTTAAAAAATAAAAATAATAATTTTATGAAAAAAACATTTGGACCATTAGTTTTTGATTGTTTCTAGATGGACCATCCATTTGCATCCATCTTTAAGATGAATGCTTTATAATGCTTTATAATGCTGAGGAGCAAATGTAGAAATGCGGGATGTCAACATATGAAATAATTTTCCTTCTCTAAAACTTCCTCCTACCTTTTTTTTTTAAGTTTATTTAATATTTTATATTAAAAAAGTTTATATTAGAGGAGGTTTTTTCGATGCCCAAAAATCCTCAAATCAATCATCTCGACCTCTGTATGGACATAAAAAACAATATAGATTTCAAATCTTAGAAATATTGCATCTTGTAATGCAATTTTTGATTGTCAATTTTCATGATTTTTAAATATCCACAGATCTACTCGATCTGCACTATTTTTGAAGCTTTAAATTTTATAATTAGATATAAAACAAAATTTTAGGCGATTACAAAGATTTCTAGTGATGAAACAACTTTCAACACTATTTGAAGGTGAGCCTTGCTTTGATTATTTAGGGCCTCAGCCTTATACAAACCATACCCATTTTATAATCCCCACCTCATAAATATTTTTTTTAATTTTTTTTATATTTTTTAGATTATTGGTTTTGACTAATCCTGATTAATTCGAGTGTCGATCGACTATTTCGACCCAGATTTATAGGGTGATTGATCCACAGACCACCACACTGCTTTGGATTTGAAATGGTTTTGTTGTTAAAGAAATAGAGGTTTAGGGTTTGAGGTCGACCTTATAGAAATCACACCCTTTCTAGAAAACATTTTCACTCGAACCTCATGCGCCAGAGAAATGCCAAAACCAAATCAGTCCTAAATTTCTATTTGATTCCTCGTCCTAATCAGCCAGTTAGAATCACCGGGTTTTATAACAGTAGGCAAAACTCCAAACCTCTGAGCATTTAACCTCAAAACTCTGAACCTCCAAGCCTTTAACCTAATTTGCAAGTCTCTAACCCTTTCGCTCAGAACCCTACCAAGTCAACCATCCATTGCCACTCGCCCCAACGAAGCTCAATCTGCAGTAACTCCTGTCCTCCTTGCCTCAGGTTTATTCCCCTTATTGCCCCCATTGCCGCAAGCTAAGAGCTCATAGAAAGCTACAGTGAGTCATGTTTTATTGTTTAGAGCTCAAAAAAGATAATCACAGATCTAAATGAGATTTTATTTTTGATTTAGGTTTTTTTTTTTTTCTTTGATTAACCTCAAACAAGATTAACCCCAAGTCTACTGAGAGCTTTTTTATTTGATTTTTTGTTTCGATCAAACCCAGACAAGATTAATACATATTCACAGAGTTTATGTATGTATTATTTATGTTTTAATTTTCTAGTTTGTCACATAAAATTTGATGTGGGCTTTCTGTTTATTGAGAAGTAGTATTTGGGGCTCGGGAGTTTGATTAATTTGATTTTGTGTCTATTATGTAATGTTTTTTGGGTTTTAAATGTTTTATTAATTGATCATTGTTACTATCATTGTTGTTGATGTTTTTGTGTTGTGTCATTATACTAATTTTCATTTGGTTTTATGAGTTAATAATCTAAATGGCCTTTTATTCTTTTTATTTTTATTTATTGATGAAAGCTTATTTAGGAGGTTGTATTATGCAGTAGGATTTGATATTTATAAAACTGGGTTCTATTCTATTGTCATTTGCTTATATAATTTATGGGGTTTTCTGTTATTTGGTTTTTGTACTCATTGGGTTGAAATTTATGGTGGAATATCCTTTGCAGAATGATATATTCTTGGGTTTTTCTGGTTACTTTTGCCAAGGTCTGGGGTTAGTTTTGTTATGCTGTTGTTGAAATGGTATAATTTTTAACTGGGTAATAGAAAGCCGTGAAATTGAAAATTTTAATTGTTTTTACTTCATTATGTATGTGACAAGTTCATTCTAGATTGAATTGGGATGTTTGCCATATAATTCAGTTTGGAAGTTGTAAGTTTGAACTATTTTACCTGCTTTGGTTTGTTGTAGTTTAGTTTCTGCTTTAGATGTTGTGGCGTGTTGATTTCTCACGTTCTGGTTTTGAAATTTGCTCTTTATTAATACATATTATGCGGTGCACACAATACTGTGTTATGCTTGTATACCAAGTATTCAGAGTTTTGAGATTAGTATATTTATCTATACTATTTATTGATGTTGTTCTTTTAGTAAAATTATTTGTGACACTTCTCTAATTTTAACCCTCTCGGTTCATATAACTGTTATTTTTCTTTCTTTGTAATATTCATAGGCAATTTAGTTCTTTTAGTCTCTATATTATTTTTTCATGTATCTTGCTTGTTGATTCATAATAATTGTAGAGGTATCGTGATAGGGAACTTTCTTTTAGTTTCACTTTGCTTAAGAATTCTGGGTGATTAACTCCACCTCTCTGGTTCCTTATACTTGTTGCAATTTCATTGAGGCTATTTCTTAATTTACATAGATGCGAGATTAAATTTCAATCTTAACCATACATTGTAAGAAATGCATTAGATAGGTAGTAGTAAGAAAATCCTATTCGAAAATATACATTACATGCATCAAATCTTGGAAATTCATAATGAACGGCTAAAACATGATGTTTTGTGCTTTCCCAGCATCAACATTACCAAAGAGGCAAAAATAACAGCACCATGCTTTATTAAATAGGGTTCTCAGCTTTCAGTCTACCAATTTTCACTTTTTCCCAGATTCCAGAAAGTCAGCAGCAGGGAGAATCCTAGGGAAATTGCAGAGAAAGTTATCAAACGCACCCTAAACCTGCAATCCCTTTCCAGATCCCCATGGGAGAAGATAGCCATGCTCAGACAGTGTGCGAGCGCAAGCGCAAGAAACTCAAGGTAGAACTCGACGTTGCAGAGGCTTTGGATTCTTACATCGCGCCCTGTGTGGGGTACTTTCCCTCTGGTTTTGATCCTTTAAGGCACAACAAAAATGACGGTGAGCTGAAAATTAAGGCATATCGGGCCGTACCCAATTACAAGTCCTGGTGCATGCAAGTTGTTGTGAGCCCCGAAGGCTCCAATGTGGACTTTGTCGGCACGAATTATACAGGTGAAGCAGCTGTTTCCCAATCCTGCAGCTATGCCTTAGGTGTTCTTGACAAAGAGAAACAAATCCTAACTGTTGTTCCCATTGCTGGAGACAAGGTGAGGGTTCAATGGAAATTATGATGTTTTTGTTATTGTTTTTTCATGGAGAATTTGTTTTTATTGCCGTTGTTCTTGCTAACTTGGATCATATGTGCGTCTCGAAACCTCATGTCTCTAGAAGCATTCATGCTGATTTGGATCACACATGCATTTCTAAACATTCATGCTATTGTTCCAGTTTTATCTGTTTCTGGTTTTTGGTGAAATGAGTTATTCCTGTCTTTAAAAAGTTTTCTTGTGGTTTCTATTCTTTTGTTAGTGACATACTATGTGCAAATTTCTTTATTTGCAGGTTTTTAGAATGGAACCAAGAGTTAGAGGGCTACAATATGAAGATGCAGTATATGAAGAGCCAAAGGAAGTGGAGAACACCCCGCAAATTAAGAGGTCGGACAAGATCCGGAATCTGACCCTAAACTTTGGAACACGACAAGCTAAACACTCTGTATGAATCTATCTTTTTTCTTTTTCTTTTTGGATATTAACATCACTAAAATCTCATTAATGGGCAGACTTTAGTTATATTATGCCATTGGAATCTACCTAATTTTTTTCTTCGACAAATCTGCATTATTGCTTGTTTAACAGATGCCAGATAATCCTTAGTTGGTTAGTGCGAGCATCGAACTTTGAATGCCTAGGTAGC